TCAAAAAAATGGTGAAGAAATCAGAAATCAGTAATCAGAAATTATTATAGTCTTCGACTAACTAAAATATTGTCAATTAGTTGATTGTTAGTATTAGATTTATATCAATCAGGTTATTGATTATAGGAATGTTGACAAGAGAAATAAGACTTTGGGCTTTCAAGTTTATTTTTTATTATAGTATTTACTAGATTTGGCTCTTAAAAAACTGACAGTAACATATATATAGAGATGAAATCAGCTCTATTGATTAATCAGTTTTATTATACTAAATATACAAGCTAATTGAGCTATTTGCATCACTACATATATATCACTAATCAGGCTTTTTTATAAGCTAAATCTAGTAAAGAATAAATGATAAACTTAAAAACTTGAAGTCTTATTTTCTCAAAAAACTCATATAGTGTTTTAGTTTACTAAAAAATTTAGTTAACTAATCTATTATTGATTTTTATCCTTAGGTCGGGGTCGAGGTCGAGGCTAAAATCATAATAAAACAACTAAAAAAAATGAAAGTATAAATGTAGACATTAATCAAATTGAGTGTTTGCCACCAGCAAGTACAGAAAATCTTATCCAAAGAGTCCGTGCAGCTATATATCTTTCTTTAAACAAACTATAGAAAATATCAAATGAGGCATCTTTAGTTGCGATGATTTTAGATTTTTGAATAAAAAATTTTTCTTTTGCAAATGGTTCTAACCGCATACAACTACGAACACAAGCTGAGTTTCTTTTAAGAAACTTATATACTCAACTTAGGTAAGATTTAGCAACTAGTCAAAATATTGAAGAGCATATTTCAACTGCAGTAAATTTAAATAATAACAATGATGAGGATATATTTGCTAAAATGTGGGCTGATGATCAGATACTAGTAAAAGACGAAGTCACTCATTATTTATGCTATCCTAATAAACGAAGAAATCTTGATTCTTTGATTTGGTGGCAAGGGCATCAGGTAAGTTATCCTCTTTTATTACAATTAGCATGTAAATATCTTTCAATACTTGCTACATCTGTTCCTAGTAAATGACTCTTCTCTGATGCTGGCAACCACATTTCTGCAAGAAGGACATGATTAGCATCTAGTTTGATTAATAGTATCTTATTTTTAAAATGTACTTTTCTATGTTTCCACCTTTAGAGACTAATGAATAGTTTTTTTTTTTTTGCTTGAATTTAATAGTTAATCTACAATAAATAAAATATATAAATTGTAAAATAAATAATTCAGCAAATTATTTTTTTTTCAAGTATAAAACTTTAATTCAGAACTAAACTGATCTATATGTAGGAGCATTCTACTGAAGGATCATTTACCAGTTTCTGTATTCTATTATTATAAAGCCTTTAGTTAAATTTATTGTTTTTTTTAAAAAAAAAATAATCGCTTTGTTCAAATAATCTAATTTTTTCAATCAGTCTACTACTTACTATTGTAAAGATGCTTTCTCGAATTTACATCATGTTACAAAAATCCTCAAGAATCCCTAAACTTAAAGCTAGAGGTGTTTATAAGAAGAGACTTATACATGATAGTCATATTAAAAGTAGTTTTTAAAAAAACTTGTATATATGTATGCACATATAACTGAAGATTATCACAGATAATATCGATACAGTAAATATAATCAATCATAATAAGTTATACAGTCTATGCCATGATATGCATGTTATATTCGGATATCGATTTAATAATTTGGATTTAAATCTGAAGCTGCAGATCATTAATTAAATAAACCCAGATTAAAAAATAAATTCGGTTCCAAACTCTAAGCATGAAAATGCAAAATTAAGACAAGCTTTAGAAGAATATGAAACCAGAATCACAAACTAGAACAGGGAGAAAAAAGTATTACTAATGTTTTATAATCTTTAGTAAATTCAAATAATACTTCTGAACAGATAGTTTTATGATGTATTGATATTCTAAAATCTGGTATAACTGATAATGCTTCAAATTCTAACAGTGCTTATAAACAGATTATCATACAAAAAATAAGAATGCTCTGGCATCTGATAATGTTTCAAATTTAGATATATACCAACCTATCTGTGCAGAGTCTAAATCATCGGAAGACAAGGAAATAGATGATTTTCTAGATTCAACATATAAAGAAAAGGTTAGTAAAGAGAGAATTAGGGAAAAGAAACTCCGGAAACAAAACTTATCTTCAGATAATACTTCATCAGAAGAGGTGATACTTGAGGTATTGGTTCTTTTAACTTCTTTATCCAGAAATACTGAATTCAGAAAATTTGAAATTTTGATCAGGGTGCCTTCACTAAAAAATAGTTATAGGAAAAAAGTGGTAGGGAGTATTTTTCAAATGATATCTAATAGTATTCAAAGTGACATATAGAGGCCTACTCTTGGTTCTAATGATATTTTATCACAACAGAATTGAATTTCTTTTATAGTACTATTGCTTACTTTAGCTCAATTATTTAATAAAGCAACTGATGTGAATATAGTGCAATTCGTGCAAATCAGAAAGAAATTTTATGCTAATGCTATTATGGGAAAGAATTTGTAACCCAAGTTAATGAAACTACAAAAAATAGTAAAGTTAGTGAGAAAAAAGCAAAGGAATTATCTATGATAAAATGTTAAAAGACCTTTTTATTCTTCATAAAAAGAGATTTGAAGACACAGGTTTACAACTCTCAGAAATTTCATATACATACTTGCAAAGAAAAACCAGAAAGTGATTAAAATATATAAATTATTTGAAAAAATTAGTATAGATAAAATTAAGAATTTTATATTTTTTAGCATATGCGATATAACACCATACCCTATTTATATGTTATACAATATATCCTATTATATGATATATTCTGTCATATCCCCCAAGCCGAACAAACCCTTAAACAAAAATTTAAAATAGATTTCTTACCAATCGATTTCGAAGATGAACTCTTCTTTATACCATTTTCACCTCCTCAACAGGACTTTATATCTTAGCAAGATACTTCTTATTAACAAGAACCTCCTTTTCTATAATAAGTTTTTACTTCATTATAAAGCTCCTACTAGTATCAATTCTACAAACTCTAGGATCCTTTTTACAACTACTCTAACAACCACAGTTTAAGGATAATATAACTATCTCAGTTAACTATAATAATTCAGAAACATATATATATCTCCCACATGACAACAATTTATTACTCAACCACAAAATAATTAAACAATTCAGTTTTAGCAAATATCAAGAATTATCTCTTAGATCCTCATTATTCTCTGATAATAATATTGAAAACTATTTAATAACTTACAACCCATTCCTAACTTCTCCATGTATACCAGAACTTTCAACTCTAAACAACCAAACTAATACAACAGATTCTAGCACTCAAATCCTACATATATCTCATAATATATTGGAATCTAGAAAACCTCCTGAGAACAACCAACCTATCAAACTACAAGATTCAAGTCTAAACATATCAATTTGCACTTATAATGTAAGAGGATATAATAAAGATCTCAAAAGACAAGTCTGAGAAGACTTCTGTCTTTCTAATAATCTTAGCATTATTGGTATCACTGAAACTAAAATCTCTAAAGAAAAAGCAAACAATCAGTTTCAAAAATCTAGATTCTTTATCTACTTTTGGTTCTGTACAAACAGTGCTAAAGCAGGAGTTGCCATCATAGTTCAAAAACAGCTTAAACCACACATTTACAATATCCTCACTGAGGCTAATTATGCTATTGCCATCGACCTATTCTTCAAACATGATTTTAAATTTAGAATTATCAACATTTATTTGCCTTGTGATAACCTTCAACTTCGCTTACAAGCTCAAAATACTGTTATTCAATAGATTCAGCAAGCCACTTCTTTAAATATCTAATCTATAATAATAAAAGACTTTAATATCTCTAGCAACAACTTACAATCCTTATCAATTAAATATAAACTCCTTCACTTCCTTCAGTACAACAATATATATGACCTGGCAGCTCATACACAATTCACAAATACCATATAGCATAACAGTAGAAATAACAGCAGCTACATTGATTATATATAGGCCAACCACCCTATTCTCCACTACTTAAATACATTTTATCTTGAGGATACTGAAACTAGTACTAATAGTGACCATAAGATTTTGATATCTTTCTGATCTTTTTCTTATGCAATCACAGGCAAATATCACCATTCAACCAAAACTAAGAAAAAAGTTTTGCTTTACAAAAATATGAATCAAGAACAATGGTTAAGCTATACTAAACAAATATTATCTAATCTTAAATCGAACAATACACCAGATACAACTAATTCTACAGAATCTATAGAACATATATGGCATAAAATTCAAACTAGTATTATTAATACTGCAATACAACATATTCCTAACAAAAAATTTACTGTCTGTAACTTTCAACATATTTTTTCATCCAAAGCATCTCAGCTTCATTATAATCTTAAAAAGCTTAACAATATTATTAGACAAGTTAAATACTCTTTAAACAACTCAACTTCTATACCTACTCATCACAATTAAATACTTATCTACCTTTTAATTCACCATCTGATTATACTGCTCTACCAGATTAAATAACTCTGGCAAACAATAAGTGGAAAGCTCTGTACCATGTACGTAATATTGAAAACATTAAAGAAATAAGACAACAAATTAATGATAATATTGCTAAACGATGCAACAAACTTCAGTCTAATCCTACCTCAATGATTAATAGTATCCTTAATCAACATAAAGACTCTGTTAGATTCGACAATATTAAATTTAATAATGATATTATTACAGAACCTAATGAAATCAAATCTCATATACAAAAACACTTCAATTAATGAACAGCACTTTATCATATTGATAAACATATATATAACTGTACTTGGCTTACAGAATACAACTCTAAACTCAATATTGATACTACATGATATCAATCTGCACTTCAGGAATTTACTATAGAAGAGGTCTTCCAAATACTCTCTTAATTACCTAATAACAAAGCATGCAGCCTCTCTGAAATTAGCTATAAGATGTCTAAACAGGCTGGACCAACTTTTATTCAAGCAATCACAGCTCTTTTCAATCGATGCTTAACAACTAACCAAATATCTAAACAATGAAAAGAAGGAAGAATCTTTTTAATATCCAAAAAACCTATCTTTAATGAAAACTTAACTAATACCAGACCTATAAGTCTCCTTGAACATATTAAAAAACTATATACCAAACTCTTGACTAATCACCTTAATAGTATCTTTACCCAATACCATATCCTTTCACTATACAACTACATTGCTCTACCTGGGAATAGCACTACTATCCCCATTCACATTTTTAACAATATTATTAAAGAAGCTTCATATAACTTGAGACAACTCTGACTCATATCTCAGGATATGATCAAAGCATATAACTCAGTTAATTTGGTGCTTTTCCAAAGATCTCTCACATAAATTAATATGCCTTCTAAACTTATATGTATCTTTACTAACCTACTGTCTGATCATCATAATAGAGTCATTACAAATTTCGGTCTTACAAATTCTTACTCTGTTAAAAATGAAATAAATCAAGGAGAGATAATAACACTTCTCTTCTGGAGGATTTATTATAACCTCTTATTACTAAGATTGCAACCCACTTCAAAGGCTACACATTATCTACTTTATGGAAAACTCATCTATATCTACTACAACATCAAGAAATGCAAATATTGGTCTTTGTTCTTGCCTATATAGATAATACACTTTGGATTGCAAAGTCTAAAGAGAAACTCCAACTGATAACTCAAACTGCAATATCATTTTATCAAATGGCTAACATACAAATTAATCCTACCAAATCTGTACTTATCAGCAACCAGCCTGTAGACTCAATTACATTTGGCAATTCTCAACTATATTCAATACTTTGCAATCAGCCCTTCAAATTCTTAGGCTGTTGATATATACTCGATAACAAACAGATTCAACAAACTAAACTGATAAAAGAAGAAGCATTTCAACTAATCAATATTACTAGTACTAAAAAGATTACTGATAAGCAGATTACCTATATTATTAATACTGTTATTATTCCTATTATAGAATACAGACTACATAATATCATTCTCTCTCAGTCTACCTGCAATCAAATTCTATCCAAATATTTAACAGTAGCTAAACACAAATCTCACTTAGCCTGATCTATCCCTAACAGTACTATATTAAACCCTTATTTATATAATATCAAAAATATTTGGAACATCCAACTTCAACTCCATATTACCAACTTTTTGCAATATATGAATAACCCACACTTGCTGGGCATTTCTATATGCATCCACATTTAACAATTATAAAATAATTTATGATCAACTATTAGTATACTTCAACATCCACAATTGAACATAGCTGCTGCACCAATTTTGTCACGGATGATTCTTGATTTTGATTGGCTAACGGCTGTGATCTACAAAATTTTGGCCTGCATTACATAATTGTTTATATAATTTTTGGCCAAAATTAACTTTTTAACTTTTTCATTTCCAAAATAGAAATTTTTAGAGAAATAGGCCTGCACAATAATAAAATTAGCCCAGGAATATTTTTCACTTAATGTGCAGCTGTAGTTTCATTAGTAAAATTTTGAGTAACATTGGCCTAAATTATTGATCGTCACTTTTAGCCAATCAAAATCAAGAGATCGTCGCTCATAGCTAATCAAAATCAAGAATCATCCGTGACAAAATTGGTGCGGCAGCTAGGTTCAATATATCCACAACCTATTATAGATGGGCCAAACAAATATATACTTAACTTTTATATTATCAAGCTTCTCAATCACCTAGATATTACTTTCATGACAAATATTAACTTCTCATGGTCCTACACTATTCAACACAAATTACAACCTTTGAAGTTAATTCTTCAACAACATCCCAAGTATTTACTTATCAAAAAACAGCTTAGATGACTTAACTTACTTTATATTGAGCAACTCTGCTTAGCAGACAATACTACTCTTTTAGAATAGAAATATCTTTTACCAAGATTATTCCATTTGCCTAAAGGCAAATAACCAGACTGGTTTATATATCTCTAGGATAAAGTAATATCCTATAGCTACTATTGTACTCTAGCACCCCAATATCAACAACTAGGAGTTAATGCTTTTGCATACAATACTGTACATATATATCTAAAAAATTTAATACCTGATTACTTAGTTATAGCAATAATAATATTATTATTAGCAAAATCCATAAATGCCTACCAAATAACTTGATTTCAATTACACACTGGAAAACTAATATTAATCTCACATATAACCAACTCTACCCTTTTCAATCTATCCAATACTATTCTTGCTCTGGATGTCACTTTAACTCTAACAGAATTAGTAGTTACTGTACAATTAATGTTTCAGTTATCATCTCTACCCAGTTCTTTAGAAGATCCTCTTCTAAGAATCTTATTCTTCATGCTAATTACATTAATCTCATTTACTCCACAGCAATTAAACACCCTATTCAAGTCCCTACTCTATCTCAAATTCCTATTAAACATTTTATCGCATCTCAGATTTTTGAGTCTGGATAGGCTACTTCTAAGCTTAAACAATTCTCTTATACAAACACCATGCTTTCCTAGTTTAACTTCTATACAGATGGATCAGTAATCAATATCAGAACACAAAACTGCACTATGGGTATAGGATAGGTCCAGTTAGATACCAATAACCATATCATACATAAATTCTCAGCAAAAATACACCTTTGGCCATCTTTATACAAAGCCGAGCTTTTCTTAATCTTATCTGCAATCTCTACTACTCTATGCAATTCAGCTATCAATATTTTTACTGATTCACAATCTATTATTTCCAAATACTCTAAACTTACTAATTTAAATAACTTTAACAAACTTTTCAAATTTAGCTTATGGCCTTTATGGTATACATTACTTAATATATTCAAATCACATAATCTACAATTTACTTTTTATAAAGTTCAAGCTCATACTGATATTACAACAACTTAGCTAATTCTCTTGCTAAATAACATATATTATCACTCCTATTACACTTCATATATACTAATATCCATAACCCCTTTCACATAATTCAATAGGAGCAACATTCTGTCGAATCTTCTACTAGACACTTTATTAAAAGTATTTGCAAATACCAGATTTTAGCAATGTGGTCATTACAAAACTATAATACTGAATGGTCATCCTTCACACAACAGATAGACTAGAATGTTACTTGGTTATTCTTTAATCACAATCAAAAATCTATTCACAACTTTACTAACTTTAAGCTAAACCAACTTAAATCATTTAAAATTAAAACTTTACTTAATAAATTGCCTACCTACTTTTTCTATTACACTAGATATCCCACTACTTTTAACAATCCTAATTGTTTTTCTTGTAATAGCTTAGACTCTGTTTTATATTGAAGAGTTTGTTCTAATTCTACTACTCTTACCAATATTATTTCTAATTCTATCTCTGTAATTCTCTACAACTTAGCATTAGACTTATCTAGTAACCAAACTAATGAACTTATCAACACAATTCTAAACTATGCAGCTTTCAGAAATATAGTAGTAGAATCAAATGATTTTCTTTTAGATATCATACTTAAAGGCTTTATCCCTATATCACTAGTTCAAACTATTCAAAAGTTTGACATCCCCTACAAATTTGCATCTCAAATTATTGTTAAAACCCTACTTTAAATTAATGAACTTATCTATAAACAGATATGAAAACCATACTATATTAATTTCTCAAATTGAAAAAAGCAAAACAAGATTACATTACTTTACAACCGATCTCAAGATCAACAAACTTCTAACAGAACTCTAAAACATACCTGCAAATCATACACTTATTCTTGCCAATGTGGCTTATCTGACCAACTGCACTTAAACAATTCCTGTCCACCACTTGGACAGACCATTAGCAAAATTAATATCTTTAATTGGTAATTTGCCAGTCAACCAGAGAAGATCTGCAAATTTTTATAAATAAATTTTATTATTAAGCCAAATATGGAGTGCATCAATTTAAAACTTTTTTTTTACTAAGTAAATCACTCTTGGGTTTATAACAAAGGTGTAGAGTTCATCAAAATACATCTAATAATAGTAATAATGTTAAAATTGGCCTAGTGGTTCTTGAGAAATCTTTAAAAAACATTTCACCAATATATAAAATTTCTTTAAAAAAAATTAATTTTTTTTAAAGAAATTTTATATGTTAGCAAAATGTTTTTTAAAGATTTCTTAAGAACCACTAGGCCAATTTTAACATTCTTACTATCATTAGATATATTTTGATGAACTCTACACCTTTGTTATAAACCCAAGAGTGATTTATTTAGTAAAAAAAAGTTTTAGATTGGTATACTCTATATTTGGCTCAATAGTAAAATTTACTTATAAAAATTTGCAGATCTTCTCTGGTTGACTGATAAATCACTAATTAATATATTATAGGTTAAATACAGTATATCTCCTAATTATATTCTCTCTATCACAATCTAGGTGAGTCTTTAACCACTCTAGTAGGTTTAGATTGCAGATAAAGTAGTCTGAGCTTTTATTCTTGCATTTAGTTTTTATTTTTTATATCTTATGTATTGAAAAGTTAATAACTCTTTGCAGTTATTATATTAAAAACTATTAATAAAGATATAAGCAAGGCCTCACCTTAATACCAAAAAAAAAAAAGATATACCCCATTATATGATATACTCTGTTTATACATCATATGCTATTAGTACTACCTTGATCATGTGAATGTGCGATCTTTATAAGTTTGCTCTTAACTTACTTTATTGGAAACATTCTAAGAGTGTAGTAGTGGAGAGTAGCAGTAAGGAGGAAAATTTATATGATTTTGTTGAAACAAAGCTGTAACAAGATAAAGAATACAATTTACTACTTCAACTGTAGTATTAGTATTAGATTTACTGAAAATTCAGAACTTAGATTGGCATTAAACCTTTACTATTTTAACACTGAAAAAACATAAAATCTACCAAGAGCCAACCTTAGTAATACCTTAATTGTACAAAGATAAAGATCTTTAACTGTCATATCTACAGCATTGGCATTAGAATCTTATTGGAAATTCTAAACTAATTGCGTCACTAAACCTTTACTATTTTTATGCTACACTAGAAAATTATAAAACCTACTAGAAGTTGACCTTAGTAATATCTTTAAACTATATAATTATATTGAAATAAAAGTCGTACAAAGGATAAAGATCTTAATTGCCTATCTTGTTTATAGTATTAGTGTTAGTATTTTAAGTTGTATTAGTAAAACCCACCAAACTTTACCCCTTTCCTATAAGTTAGAATTTAGTACTAATAAATGATCAAGTTTGGTAATAATCATTCTTTCTGATGTTCTTTAATTGTGCAGATGTAATTTATTGTACGATTTCTATCTGGATAATTGTGGTGATCTAGAGCCAGTGCATTCTAAAGTCTCAACTCCTGAAAGGAACAAATTTGTTAGATAAAAACCAACAACTTTTGGGTTTTACAAGTTGCTTGATTTCGTCAAAGTATAATTATATAAAGGTAAAGCTACAATTGTGCCTTTTCCTATTAGAATTTAGTGTTAATGAATATTTGATTTTAATAATTAACTTGTGTTTTTTGCTTTAATAGGCATTGATCAGTTATAGTTTGTTCGATAGTATATTTCTACTTGGATAACTGGTAATTGAAGTCTCAACTTCTAGAAGAGACAAATTTATTAGATGAAAACTAATAACTCTTGGGTTTACAAGCTGCGTGTTTTTGTTATAACTTACAAAGATAAAGTCTTAATTGCACTTTTCCTATAAGAGGGAGCTTTAGTGTTAATAAGCGTTCGATTTTGATAATAACTTAGTTTTTTTTCAGCAGATGTGGATTGGTTATAGTTTATTTAATAGTACAATACTGTACTACTTGAATAACTGGTAATTAAAGTCTTAACTTATAGAAGAATATATTTACTAGATAAGATCAATATCTTGGTTTTACCTGTTTTACAAACTAGTTTTTGGATATTTTTCTGCATCGTTATTTACATTTTCCACCTTATTATGAGTGAAGAACCAGATTTTCTTTTTATAACTAAAGAGTCAGAAGACTCACATGTTATGAATGAAAAATCAAATAATGTTGTTATTAATAAAGAGCCAGAAGACTCTATGAGTGAAAGCCAAGGATTAAGTGATAGCTTTTTTGACTTTGATTTTGAAGTAGATGTATCAGTGTATCAGAATTGGATATTATAATAAGATTTGTTTATATATAATAAGAATATCATAAAACATGATGTTAATGTGTTTGTACTTTTTTTTATTTAGATTCGGTAAAGAGCTGTGACAATAAATTATCTCAAAATGAAACTGAATCATCATTTTTATTTTCTGAAAAGAGATTTGCTACATGGGATGTATGTAAACTATTTCTTAAAGAATGGGCCTAACACTAAGGATTTTGTATTATCAAAGGTTATATTTATTGGAAAAATGATAATATTCGTAGAAAAACTTACATATATAACCACGTGAATTTTTATGAACCAAATACAGAAAAGGATACAAGTACTAAAAAAACATAGTGTCAGTTTCAGATTAATGTTTTTTGCTCTAAAGTTAACAATATTAAGGATCAAGTAATAATCAACAAAATTGTTTATAAATATAATCATATGTTGAACCTGAAAAGAATTGAATTTGAAGATGGAAGGCAATTTACTAAAGCCATGTTGGCTGATATGAAATTTATGACTGAAAACTGTAAATTTGAAGCTACTGTGCAAAGAAAATTCCTAGAAAACAAGTATCTAATACAAACAATTTGTTTAAAAGATTTATATTATACAATGCAAAGACTTCACCCTAATAACAAAGCATTACTCAATGATGCGGCAAAGGTATGAATAGTTTAGTATATATTGTATATTAGTGAAGAATGTAAATAAGATTTTGATATATCATTTTATAGATCTCTAAGTAGCTTGACCAAAAAAAGGATTCAGATTCTCGTTGGGTTGTTGTATGTGAATTTGATGAGAACAATACCTTAACACATTTACTGTGGATGATGCTAGATCAAGTCGAAAAATAGATTCAATATTCAGACTGTGTCTTATATGATGTTACTCATAAGACCAATCATTACAGAATAGCATTGTCTTTATTTGTTGGATTTGATAGTATTGCAAAAACATTTTATTAGCACAAGTACTTCTTTGTGATAAAAGTGTTGATTCACACAAATAGATGTTTAAAGAAATTATTAAAGCCATCAAGGTTTATTCAGCTATTATTCTAACTGACGCAGATCTCGCGGTTGATGCTATGGTTCGACAAGTTTTTACTACCACATATCCAATTCACTATGCATTCCATATTACACAAAATTTATATAAAAATCTTAAAAAATCGTTAGATAATCCTTATCAAAGCTTTCTTAAAGATTTTTATATTTGTCGCAATAGTTTTTCTATACAAGTTTTTTATCAACATTTTAATAAACTTATTTAAAAGTATCTCAATGCTTGAAACTATTTAGAGTTTCTTTATAAATCAAAAAATTACTGGGCCCATTGTTTTATATGTTTTCAATTTACTGAAGGCATGATCGCAACATCACAGGTTAAGTCAGTAAATGTCACAAATCATAACAAAATCTGATCAAAATAAAATAGTGATCTTTTTTTTGTATCATATAAATAATATGCACATTACATATTACAACAGTTTGTGCAATGTATTACAAAACCTATATAAAAAATAATATAAAGCCTAATATAAAAATAATATAAAACCTAATCTAAAAATAATATAAAACCTAATCTAAAAATAATATACAATATAATATAAAAAATACTATAAAACGTATTATAAAACATAATATAAAATTTTATAAGACGTAAAATAAAAAATCCTGTATGAAAATACTGTGAGATGTAGTGTGAAAAATACTATGAGACGTAGTGTGAAAAATACTGTGAAACATAGTACAAAAAATACTGTTAAACATAGTGTGAAAATATCATAAAACGTAGTACAAAAAATACTATAAGATGCAGTGTAAAAAATACCACGAAACGTAGTATGAAAAATACCACGAAATGTAGTGTGAAAAATACTATAAGACGTAGTGCGAAAAATACTATGAAACATAATGCAAAAAATATTGCGAGACATAATACGAAGAATACCTAAAATGTAAAGAGAAAAAATACTGTAAAACATAATACAAAAATCTCATGAGACGTAATGTGAAAAATCCTGTGAAATGTAATACAAAAAGCCCTTGTAGACTGAAAATTTCTTTAAACGTATATATATACGTATATGCGTACTATAAAACTTCTATAACTGTAACTTTAAAAAGCAAGTTGGAGTTAGCTTTAATAATAAAACTATTTACAAAACTTCAAATACTTTAATAAACAAAAAAAAAAGAAAAAAAAACATAAATTATAGCTTATTGAAACTGTAACCTATTCACTTTATTTTATGCCAAATTGTTACAACAAATATAGTACACTACCATATAACAAAAAAAAAATGAAAGTAAAAAAAAAAAAGGTATTAATAAGTGCCAACTATAAATAAAGACGAAACAAAAGTAGAACAAAGCCAAAAAAAAAATAAATAAATAAAAATACATAAAAGCTTATTTGCTGTAGATAAAATGACAAAAAAAAAAGTTAAAAAAAAACAAGTTAAAGAGAAATAAGCTAAAGAGAAATAAGTTAAAAAGAAATAAGTTGGAAAGAAATAAGCTAGAAAGAAATAAGTTAGAAAGAAGAACAAATTCGAAAGAAATAAGTTAGAAAAAAATAATGAAAGTTAGAAAAAAATAAATTAGAAAATAAGTTAAAGAAATAAGTTAGAAGAATAAGTTAAAAAAAAAAAAGTCAAGAAAAACAATCATATTTATAGCTATACAGAGTAGTACAAAATAACTAGTGCATTTAAAAAAAAAACAATTTTTTTGTATGTGTCAAGGATCGGGCAAACTGGTTTAACTTATATATAATAACCCGAGTATCACCAGTAATAGTAAATTAGCCCTTAAATTGAAATATAAACTAGGTTAACAGAAACTGTTGTGAGTCCGAAGCATAACATATTTTAATAATTAGTTAAATAAACTAACTAAAGTTTTACAATATATATATATTATTTTTTTAATGTATATAAATAATATCATGTAGGACTTTTTTTAATCAGAAGTCTAGTGTAGTCCGTAATGGCTAATTACAGTATAGTCACATGGCAGACAGACAAATCAAAGGTTTAGTGCTGTAGTGTGGACCTTAACAACCAATTATCACAAGTCACATGTCAGACAGATGGACATTTTTCAAATCAAAGGTCTAGTGTAGACCATAACAGCTAATCACCAACAAGTCACGAGCAAGACAGACAGACATTTTTCAAATCAAAGGTATAGTGTGAAACATAGTAGCCAATCACCAACAAGTCATGTGCCGGACAGACAGACATTTTTCAAATCTAAGGTCTAGTGTAGACTATAGCAGCCAATCACCAACAAGTCACATGCTGGACAGACAGACATTTTTCAAATCTAAGGTCTAGTGTGGACCATAACAGCCAATCACCAACAAGTCACGTGCTGAAAAGACAGACATTTTTCAACTTTTACATGTAATATAAGTCCTCGCTACACTTCGGACAATAAACTCCTTAAATTGAAATAAGTAGTTTAAGTTTGTAGTTAGTTGTTTATTTTATAGTAAGCTAAGATGATAAAACTTTCTAAAATTCCTGATACCCTGAAGACTTTAATGACATAGTTAACTATATATGTCATGGTACCTATTTGGAAAAATATAATAATCTAACAAAAAAATCAAATTTTTAATACTATTGTAAAAATTTTGTTTATAATAATCAAAGTAGATACCTTTTTTTGATCAAATGTTAAAGGATGAAAATTCAGTACCAGTAAAAAAAAGGGTTGAGTTCGGGTTGAAGTAGATGGTAAAATAAAAAATTTGCTTGCTAAAAATTTAAAAAAGCTTCGTTATTAAAAAAAATTAAAATATCGTTATTAGAAATCTTATAATTAGGCGATTAAAGTAGTATATAAACTCAATATGAATGTAATGTATATAATGCATATATAATAAAAATGCTTTTTTAAATTCAAGCTATTCTAATTTTAAATCTCTTCTCAGATATAATTAGAATATTAGTAATATAATTTTAAAGTAATAAAATATTTCTAATTGTATTCAAAAAAGATTTATAGATTAGAATAAGGTATTTCGGGTAAGTTTTACATATTATTAATGCAATTAAAATGCCTATTTTTACATGTGATTTGCTAAACTTTAATATAAAAAATATTTTGTACTATAAAATTTATAGTATAGTATATATAAATTTAATTTACTATAAATTTTATAACACAAAATATATAAGTAAATTTGATTATTATAAAAGTAATAGTTATACAATATAAATATATAATGTAAAAAAAAGGTCACCATTTTGTTTTGATCAGATTTTATTTTAATCTGTCACAGTAAACGCATGTTTGAAATGTTTGCTGCATAGCTTAAATATTTCTTTGTATAAACTTTTAACTGAAATTAATAGACTACTAGATACTCAAGATAGAGAGAACAAATATAAATTCTAAAAGCTTGCTATTTCTACCATCAAAAATTAGGATAAAATGAATTTTCTGTTTACTAATATTGATAAGTATATTCAAAAATTTCTCTCTTCAACCATTTTACAAATGCAGCATAATAAGATCAACCAATCAGTTTATTATACATCAAATATACTTAAAGATATGATGTATTTTAATGAAGTGAAGATCTAATTATTTATTTTATTAAATAAATATGTTGTAACATATTAAAATTACTTTTTAATAGAGTAAACAATTAAGCGACTTTTGAGAAGAGTTTGATATTGATAATATGCAAACTAGTTTTAATGAATTAGTTGAACTTGTTGGATTAGATAATATTTGTAAAATTTGTTAAGACTAGAAACTCTTTGGAAATAAAACATCATGTTTTGTTACTAAAAAACTGGTCTTACTTGTATTCCTATTTATCGACTATACATTGTGATATTGTATATTAGCATTACTTTTAGGTGATGCTGAGTACATCTAATGCACTATTTCATATTCAGATGTTGTCTTTACATTGATATAGTACAAAGGAAAGTGGTGCTGAAGAACTATTTATAGTCGCAGATAAATTTTCACAAGAAGCAATCAAAGAACCTAATTTGCCAGTTTCATATTTGTATTTGTCTAAACAAGGATCAGATTTTTGAGCAAAGAATTTAACAACTCTTGAGCAAAAGTTAATATATAGAAATATTCATAGTGCATATAAGAAAGCTCTTTTTAAGGCATTAGAAAATAAAGCAAGATAACAACATCTAATTGAATTGTTGCAGAATTTTGCAGGAGAGGACAAACAATTCAAATTAGATAATGTGCAAGAGTTGATAGCTTTGATGATAAAGAGAATAGTAATCCTACAATTTCTCATATACAAAATCTAACAGTATGCTGTGATAAAGGTTGTTCACTAGTCATGAAGCATCTGAAGTTAGCTCATGAAATACCAAAACCTATAACAAACTAATGTTGATGTAAGAAATGTGATGGTGTTGACTATTATCAAAAGAATTGCAAGGTATTGTTTAGTATAAATGTTGGATCAATTATATGTTATAGATTGCTAATAAAATATAATTGTATAGGCTTAAAATTTGGTATCTAAGAATATAATACATTACATAGTCTTGTTTTATTTATGAGCACCTGATTGTATATTGTTATTCTATTCGAAATAGATATTGCTGTAAGTATTATCTGATAATTTCAGACCTGGAGTTGCATTGACTAAAATTAGTTTCTAGAATT